AACTACAATCCTGGTAAGTTCTATACCTAACTTTATCTCTTCATTGATTTTTGCATCTTGGAGTATAACTTGTTCAATGAATGTATTGAAGCAATTGGGAAAAATGTTGCACTAGAATTTGAAAGTTAACGTGAACCTATTGCACTGGAATTTGAATTATACCCTGTAACACGTTTCTCTTTCATTTATATTTATTAGTGAGTTGGTGGGATTTCTATGGCAATGAAACGCCATATTTAAAGACAATGGCAAAAAGGATAGTTGGTTTGACTACTAGTTCATCAGGTTGTGAAAGAAATTGGAGTGCTTTTGAAGGGGTAAGTACTAATTAGGCTGTACACAATTCATTTCTTTTGATCAATGAATAATTACTTGATTATGCTATGCTCCATTAAATGTACCTTTTTTTTTTGCTTTTTTGTTGTTGTTTGTAAATACACACCAAGAAAAGGAATAGACTTGGCACTATGAGGATGAACATTCTTGTTTATGTCCAATTTAATGCAAGGTTGACGAACAAGAAGAAGAGGAAAGCCAAAATAGAGACTTTACTAATAAGTGATGCTACTAATGCACAATCTTGGATTGTAGAGGGTTGTGATGATGAAGGTGAGGAGGAAAATGATATCTTACAACCTACAAGAGGTACAAGAAATGATCAAAATGAAATAAGGGAGCTCGAGAATAATGATTTTGTATCGGCCGATACAAATGACGACTTAGATGATGAAGAAAATATTGAATTGGAATCCGATAAATAGTTAGATTAGATAAGATTTAAGTTTCAAGTTATCTACGTTATGTAATTATGATTTTGAAACTTATCTTTATGTGGGAATTATTAAACTTGTGTTTGAAACCCATTTTAAAGATAATAGAATTTTTAGAATAGTGATTGAAGGAAAAATGTGTGGTGAAAAAGTGATGAAATGTTTTAGATTTGTGTGTAATATTATTTTATTTGGAGAATGTGTGGTTGAAATGAAGAAAGAAAAAAAATGAGAATGAGAATGGGTGTCAAACAAGGGCAAGTAAATTTAATATTTTATAATTTTAGATATTTGGTACGTATTATTTGAATTATTGAATTTTTTTACAATGATTAAAATTTTAAAATAAAAAAAACCCATTTTTACGCATAGGCTTGTAAAGTTTGCAGCTTGACTTACACGCCTAACCACGCTTTACACTTTTTAGAACACTGATTTTATGAAAGTGCTTCTAGTAGTTAGAAGAGTTTTTAGAAGAAGATAGTTCAATGTTGTATCTTCTAAAAGCACTCTCGAAATAAAAAATAATTTTAAGCATTAGTTTCTAAAAAAAAAAAAAATTTAAGGTAGTTTCCTTCAGAAACTCTTCTACATGAAGCAAAAGTCATGCCAACGTACCCAAAATTGATGCAAAATTCAGTTCTAGTATTGTTCGATTCTCGATCAGTCAATTGCCCTTACAATACCACTTAGTAATATAATTTACTAAAAACTTTTAATGAGGAAATGAAATCAAGCCCGTCATTTCTTTTTATTTTCCAAAATCTGGTGCATATTTAATACATAGTATTGAACGTAACTGAATAATATGACAAATATATTTTAACTCATTTTTATTATTTAATTATGTCCAATGATGTCTAAGTCTTGGTCTAATACATGATTACACAAGACACCTAATGCTGTCTAGTTACGTCTTATCCACTATACACCACATATCCTAAGTGATTTCTTACTCAGAATCACCAAGTGATCATATTAAAAGACTAGAAAACCAGTTTGGGCAATATTCTTGTATGTGCATGTCCAATCATTTCCAGCAATATATAAGATCAGTGACTTAAAAAGTTCAGATTATACAGCCATCGTTTGGTACCGATTAAAATCTAAATTTTAATCTAAATCAAAGTCAACAATTCATTTCAACCACATTTTATGAGTCTCACAACTTTTCAACCACACATTTCATCAATTTCTATCAAAATCTACTAAAAAGTTGAGTTTAATCCCCACCAAACATGAGTTTCCCCTGTTTGGTATTGATTTAAATCATATTTTAATTTAACTCAAAGTCAAACAATTAATATTAACCACAATTTCATGGGTCCCACAACTTTTCAACCATACATTTCAAAATTTTTTATCAAAATCTACTAAAAATCTAATTTTAATCATTATCAAACAAACTTTAAACAAAGTAGCCAGCAGTGGATGCTTTTACACAACTATAAAACAAGACCAAAAAGTCGAATGAACAAACTTTTAAAACAATGTTTTCTTATTATTTCTTAATACTATATAGTACCACCAAAACATGCCAAAAGTATTTTTATGATCGGTCTTCCAAACTTGTCTGTAATACGAGTCTAAGAAGAACCAACATTCCATTGAACCA